CCTGGGCATGCACAGTGACTTTCTATATTCCCCGTATAAGTGGTTGCTTTTGAATATCTTAGTCCTAGATGTTAGGAATGTAAAACAGTGCAGTGCTGTGGAAAACACTATGGTGGTTCCTCAAAAATTAAATATAGAATTACCACTTGACCCAGCAATTCCACTTTGGAGCACATACACAAAAGAACTGAAAGTAGGGACTTGAACAGATATTTGTACACTCATGTTCATTAACAGCATTATTTACAATAGCCAAATGGTAGAAACAACCCAAATGTCCATTGACAGATGACTAGATAAACAAAATGAGGTATATACATACAATGGAATATTATTTGGTCTTAAAAAAGAATGAAATTCTGGGACCAGCCCTGGTGGCATAGCAGTTAAGTTCAGCACGCTCTTCTTCAGTGGCCCAGGTTCGGTTTCCAGGTGCAGACCTACAACACTTGTCTGTCACTGGCCATGCAGTGGCAGTGGCTCACATACAAAAAAGAGGAAGGCTGGCAGTGGATGTTAGCTCAGGGCAAGTCTTCCTCAGCAAAAAAAAAAAAAAAAAAAAAGGGAAGGAAATTCTCACACATGCTGTAACATGATGAATCTTGAAAATATTATGGTAAGTACAATAAGCCAGATACAAAGGTACAAATATTGTTTGATTCCACTTATATGGGGTACTGAGAATTGTCAAATTATACATAGAGACAGAAAGTAGAACACTGGTTACCCAAGGGACATGGGAAAGGGAGAAATGGAGAGTTATTGTTTAATGGGTACACAGTTTCAGCACGGGATAAAGGAAAAGTGGTGGAGATGCACAGTGGTGATGGTTGCACAGCAATGTGAATGCACTTAATGTCACTGAACTGTATACTTAAAAATGGTTAAAATGGTAAATTTTGTTACGTCTATTTTACCACAAGAAGAAGTAAATAAAACAGTAGGAAGAATAGAATGATCCATTTATAAACAGATGATTGGGTGTAAATACAATTACAGACAAATATATCTAGAAATATGACTGCCAAAATGTTTGTGGTAGTTCTCTCTGGGTGGTAGGATTTCAGGGTGATTTTAACTTTCTTATTTCTACTCTTCTGCACCACTATGTGTATTATTACCTTTTAGTCATGGGGGTGGGTGGGCGTGGGTGGAGGTGGGGAGCGAAGCTATTTTCATTTAAGGAGAGAACCAAAACGAATGATCGAAATTCAATCTAATATTGCCTATCCTGAGTGCTCTAAATGTGTTACATTTGACTGAAAGCTAAAAATGTGGACTCCCATGAGTCTTCCATGAGGAGATGAGAACTACTTTGCTTTATTGAAGGTACTACTGTTTTTCTCTTTAAACATTTTATCGAAGTATGTCATACATATAGATAAGTACACATAACTGTAGAGCTATGTAGATTTTCACAAACTAAACACATCCATGTAACTAGCAACCAGATCAAGAAACAGAATATTACCACATGCCATAAGGTCCCCTTATGTCCCCCATAATTCGTCATGCCACAACAAGGGTAACCAACATCCTGACTTCTAAGATCATAGATTAGACGTACAGGTACTCTTTTTTGCACTAATATTAAAAAAGAAAAAAATCCATTCACCTTGCCTGCTAATATAAAACCAAATGAAAGACCCTGGAAGTGTTTCTATGATAAATCCTTATATGTACATAACATTTAAAGCAATCACATTACTTCAAAGTCATACTTTATCTAAAGTACCCTGGTGTTTTTTTCTTGGTATCAATGTAGTAAACCCTCTACTGCATGCCAGGTACTGTCCTAAACACTTTACATCCATTCACAGATTCAGTTGTCAGAACAATTCTATGATATTCAAACAATTTTAATGGAGATAGATGGCTAACTGATAGCAAAGACAGAGTTTAAACCTGGTAGTGTTAACTCCAAAATTCAGGATCTTTTCCTGATACCATGTTAGAGTTAAGTTAACTAAAAAATTGCTATGAATGAGAAATAACAGGAAACACCACGAAAAAGACAGGGCTTTAAGACTGTTTAACAAGATACATGAGTGATGGATGTGAAAAGGTATACAATGGGCAAAGCACAAAACAGAAACAAATAAGGCTTGTGAGACACTAATTGAATTTATGAGGTTTTAACCAATTGTTTGTGCTATTATTGTCATACAGTTTACTTATACATATGTTATAAGCCCCACATTATTATTTTTAAACAGGCAACAATTTTTAAAAAGAGAAAAAAATTATATTTACTTATGTACTTACTATTTCCACCATGAAGCATTACTCGGGGCAGATCCCAGTTTGTATTTGGTATGATTTTCCTTCAGCTTACAGCTTCCTTTGACATTTTTTGTACTGTGGATCTACTGGCAACAAATTCTCTTGGCTTTTGTATAAAAATATCTTTACCTCACCTTCACCTTTGAATGCTAATTTTCATTGGATATAGAATTCTAGGATAATGTGCAGGTTTTTCTTTCATCATATTAAAGATGTTCTGCTTTGCATTGTTTCTGATAAGAAATTTTGAATCATTCGTATTGCTTTCTGTATTTAATGTGTCTTTTTTCCTCAGAAAGTTTTATCTATTGTTAACTTTCAGTAATTTGATTATGATACGCCCTTGTATTGTTTCCTTTGTGTTGATATTCTTTGAAGTTCACTGAGTTCCTTGGATCTGTGGGTTTAAAGTTTTTATCAGCTATTATTTCATGAGATCCTTTCCTGACTCTTCTTCTGAGACTCAAATTACGTTAGACCATTTGATATTGTTGCACGGGTCACTAACGCTATTTTCTTTTTTTTCCACTTTTTTCTCTCTGTACTACAGTGTGGACAGTTTGCATTACTATCTCCACTTTCACTCATCTTATTTTCTTAGTATTTAAATCTGCTTGTTAAACTCATTCGGTGAAGTTTTCATTTTATTTTATTTAAGATCTTTCATCTCTAGAAGTTCCATTTTGTTATTTCTCTACCTTCTATTTATCTCATTATGTTCACGTTTTCCTTTAAACTCCTCAACATATTTATAGCAGCTGTTTAGAATCGTTGCTTATTTGATAATCTCTGTTTATTGTGGGTTTATTTATATTGCCTGATTTTGGGTCACATTTTCCCACTGCTTCCTAGTAATTTTTCATTGAATGTTGGACACTCTGAATGTCTCATTTTCAGGTGTCTGAACTTTTTGTTCTTCCTTATGTTCAGCTTTATTTTGGCAGGCAGTTAAGTGGCCTGTAGATCAGCTTTCCAGACTTGTTTTTAAGCTTCGTAGGTGTGGGTTTACAGTAGCCTTTAATCTAGGGCTACTTCAGCCTTAATATAGTGACCCTTCTGGGGTCTCGACTGAATGTCCCAGATGTTCAACATAGTCTCTTCATAGCATCTGATCAGAAATCTACCATCTCTCAATCCTTTGTTAGCTGTGGGAATTGTTTAGCCTACAGCTTCCTGGTAGCAGGTGTGTCACCAACAATTGTTCTCTGCCCAACCTCCTGAATCTCCCTCTAAATATGTCCAGCTTAGGGTTCAGCTAAAGACTCAATGGGACCCCATGCAGATATCTGGAGCTCTTTCTCTGGATACTGACCTTCTCTCTGATGCTTTGCCCCACAAAGTCCAGCTGCTGCAGCCTCCGTGAACCCTGATCTCTGTCTCCTCAACTCAGTGAGACCACCATGCTCTGTCTGGAATCCTCACTCATGTGCTACAACCCAGAAAGTTTCTCCATGAAGAAAATCAGGGTCATATTAGGGCTCTCTCCTTTTGTCTTCTCTCTCTCAACAATCAAAATCTTGCACTGCCAGTTGTCCAATATTTCAAAAGGGTTGTTTCAAAGATTTTGTCCAGTTTTTAATTTATTTACAACGGGAGTGCGAGTGCAAGTCTGAAACCATTCCTCCATTGTGGCTGGGAGTGGAATTCTTCTCTCCATTCTTTTTTTAAGGGAGTGATATTGGGATATCTCTATGGTATTACTTCTTCTCCAAATATGAAAGTAATAAAAATCACCAAAGTTTTAAACATTACTATCTCTTTGCAAGTTACCTTTATTTTAAGTGGTACTCAAACAGCAATCAACGCTCTTTAGAAATATATTTTCTTCAATTTACAGTCATGCTAAGATAAACTAGAGTAGTGAAAATGGAACTGCATTCTTCACCTAACACAATTTATTTAATTTGAATTCCATAAAATCATTTCTTTGTAAGTAGGAAGAGGTTTCTATAGTTCTCTTTTTTTAATAGCTTAAATCAACACAAATTTATTCTTTTACAATTCTAGTGGTCAGAAGTCTAAAATCAAAGTGTTGGAAGGGCTGCATTTCTTCTGCAGGCTTCAGGGGAGAATCCACTTCCTTGCCCCTTAGCTTCCAGAGGTCAACTGCACTCCTTGGCTCATGGCCTCTTCCTCCATCTTCAGAGCATGTCACTCCAGCACGTGGTTTTGTGGTCACATCCGCTTTGCTCTCACTTTTTCTCAACATACTGCCTCTCTCTTATAAGGACCCTTGTGGTTACCTCGGGCCCACCCAGATAACCCAGAATAATCTCTCCCACCTCAAGATCCTTAATTCAATCACACCTGCAAAGTCCCTTTTGCCAGGTAAGGTACCATATTCACAGGTTCTGGGGATGAGGACAAGGACATCTTTGGGAGGCCATTACTCTACCAAAGTATGTGAGCAACTGCTTTGTTTCCAACACTAACCTGGAGGCTAGGAAATCAGAGATGGATGAACACGGCCCCTCCCTCCTTGAATAGCTGAATTCCAGACCAGAGGAAAAATTTAGTTCTTATAAAATGTAAAGTTTCTTTGAGTTCATTATGTCTTGTTTTCTTATAATGATAAGAAAGCAAAATAATCAGGACAGCTATAAATAATTAATATAAGAATATACTATGTCTTACAGTATGTAGAATCATTTTATTTTTATGAACTAATGCAAAATATATCAAGGAGTTGAGAATAGGAGAATAAAATGACAATTTACCTCTTATTTGCCTGTCAACAACTCTCATCTCCTTTCTTATCTTCAATGACCATTCATTGACCTGGGAAAAATTTTAAAGAAGGAATTATATGAGAAGGCAACACTTTTAATTCACTGAATTTTAAAGAATTTTATATTAAGTCTATATTTATTCCAGACACAAAAGAAATAAAGCCATTTTCAAAGAAAGAGCTTTGGGGCCAAATTCTATTTTTTTCATCTTTTTATTCACAGTATACAGAAGTTCCAAGCTATTCAAAGATTCTTATCTGAAGACAGGCAGTAAGAAGTACTTTATACAAGACCTCACAGAGAATTCAATACCCTGCAGGTACTTAAAGACTTGTCAAGAGGTGCATGGACATAGATAGGTTTTAAGGGCATCAGAAGATCTTCAACTTCTGTACATATTTATTTCAAAAACTGCTCTGCCTGTGTCACGAGAGTTCACCTTTTCCTTTTCCCCTTTAACAATAATGTTTTTTCATTTTACAAAAGAAAGATATTCCTCTAACTTGTCTTTTATTACCATGATATATTTCCCTGAGAGGCAAAAACCTCTGAAGCACTAAACATAGGGCCAACTGGAAACAGTGGTGCAAGTGTTGAGAAAATAGTGAATGACTCTAATGACCGTCAAATTCTTATGCAAGTAAAGTATTTTCCAACTGTTCAGTTTCAAAAAAACTGAAGGAAATTCTGAGCTGCCAGCTGATAAGTCATTAAAACTAAATTTTACATGAAATCACTGTGTGCTTTTTGGCATATGACACAGAAGTTCAAAACTGAGTGACAGTGACATAACAAAACTCCTTTCATTACCACCTACTTACTTAGATTAACATGTTTCTCAGAAACTTGAGTCTAACAAAACATAACATAAGGCTTTCTTCCACTTTTAGCACCTTAGGATGAGGATCTGTTGTCTACACCTGCAGCCATGCCATCCAAGGGCCCTTTGCAATCGGTGCGGGTCTTGGGATGCAAGAAGACGGCTACAGCCCTGACCCACTGCACAGGGGGTAACGGCCTCATCAGGTGAATGGGAAACCTCCGGAGATAATCTAACATGATGGCTGCAATACAAGCTACTAGAACCTGTTCTGCTTCTGGGCAAGGAGCGATTAGCTGGCATGGACCTCTGTGTCCATGTAAATGGTGGTGGCCACGTGGTCCAGATTTACAAAATCCGCTAGTCCACCTCCAAAGCCCTGCTGGCCTATTGCGAGAAATATGTGGCTAGGATTCCAAGGAGATCAAAGATATGCTCTTCTAGTATGACTGGACCCTGATGGTAGTTGATCTCTTATCGCTGCAAATCCAAAACGTTTGGAGACCCTGCCGCCTGCAATCGCTCCCAGAAAGCCTACCAATAAGCCTATTATGAGGATCAGGGTTCACGTGTATAATAAACAATGATTATGGGAATAAAGGTGTAAAAAAAAAATAAAAGAAGATAAAACAGGAAGAGAACTGATGCTGAACCTTTTAGCATTCATCCATGGATATATGAACTAAAAGCGTTAAAAAATCCAGACCACTGGGGCCGGCTCCGTGGCCGAGTGGTTAAGTTCGCGCACTCTGCTGCGGCGGCCCAGGGTTCGGATCCTGGGCGTGGACATGGCACCGCTCATCAGGCCACGTTGAGACGGCGTCCCACATCCCACAACTAGAAGGACATGCAACTAAGACATACAACTGTGTACAGGGGGGGTTTGGGGAGATAAAGCAGAAAAAAAAAAAAAAGATTGGCAACAGTTGTTAGCCCAAGTGCCAATCCTTAAAAAAAAAAAAAAAAAGGAAGCTTGGCAACAGTTGTTAGCCGAGGTGCCAATCTTAAAAAAAAAAAAAAAAAAAAAAATCCAGACCATTAAGAGAAGATGTATTTCCTACAAATTTCACTTTTAATGATTTAATTAAAATCATTATTTACGGGGCCGGCCCTGTGGCCGAGAAGTTAAGTTTGTGCACTCCGCTTCGGCAGCCCCGGGTTAGCCAGTCCAGATCCTGGGCGTGGAACTATGCATCACTCATCAAGCCATGCTGTGGCAGCATCCCATATAGAAGAACTAGAATGACCTTCAACTAGGATATACAAATACGTACTGGGGCTTTGAGGAGAGGAAGAAAAAAAAGAGGAAGATTGGCAACAGATGTTAGCTCAGGGCCACTCTTCCTCACCACTCCCCCAAAAAAAGAAGACGACAATCAGAAAAAAACCTTTAAAAAAAATAAAATCACTATTTAACAAAAAAACATTTATTATGCAACAACTATAGTAACCACTCAGAAGAAATATTAAAGCACTTAAAACTGTATGGTTATACTATTTTTAAAAATTTTAATGTTAGGTTTACAAACATTTTTTAAGTGAAATTCACATAACATACAATTAGCCATTTTAAAATGTACAATTCAGTGCATTTAGTGCCCTCACAATGTTGTGCAATCACCAACTCTCTCTAGTCTCAAAACTTTTTCAGTATGTCAGAAGAACACACTATATCCTTTAAATAATCTCTCCCTATGTCCGGTTCCCCCCACTCCCTTGCTTTTTATCTCTTTTGATCTGCTTATTTGGGTATTTCATGTAAAATAACTCACACAGTATGTGGCCTTTCGTGTCTGGCTTCTTTGATTTAGTACGGTGTTTTCAAGGTTCATCCATGTTGTAGCATGTATCAATACTTCAGTTCTCTTTAAGGCTGACTAATATTCCAGTGTTATGTATATACCATTCATCCACTGTTGGGCATTTGAGTTGTTTCCATTTTTTGGTTATGTGAATAGTGCTGCTATGAACATTTGTGTACAGGTATTCATTTGAATACCTAGTTTCAATTCTTTGGGGTATATGCCTAGTTGTGGAACTGCTGGGTCATATGGTAATTCTGTTTATCTTTCTGAGAAACTCTAAAACTTTTCAAAGGGCTTCACCATTTTACATTTCCTCCAGCAGTGTACAAGAGTTCCTATTTCTCCACATCCTTACCAACACTTATTTTCCAATTTCTTTTTATTATAGCCAAACTGCTGGACCTGCTGAAGCATATTATCTCACTGCAGTTTGGATTTGCACTTCCTTAATGACTGAGTATCTTTGCATGTGCTTGGCCATTCGTATATCTCCCTTGGAGAAACGTCTATTCATGTTTTCTATCATTTTTAAGTTTAGTTGTCCTTTTCTTGTTCAGTTGTATGAGTTCTTCATATATTCCGATAGTAGAACCTTATCAGACATAGGATTTGCAAAATTTTTCTTTCATTCTGCAGGTTATCTTTCTACTTTCTTGATAATGTCCTTTGATGCACAATAGCTTTTAATCTTGATGAATTCCAATTTGTCTATTTTTTCTTGCGTTGCTTGTGCTTTTAGTGTCATAGCTAAGAATCCACTGCCAGACATGAGGTCATAAAGATTTACCCTATGCCTTTTTCTAGGAGTTTTACGGTTTTAGGCCAAAGACCTTCATTTAGGTCTTTGATTCACTTTGAGCTAATTTTTGGATATGAAGTGAGGTAGGAGTCCGGCTTCATTCCTTTGTATGTGGCTACCCACTTGTCCCAGCACCATTTTTTGAAGGACTATCCTTCCCCCACTGAATGGTCTTGGCACCCTTGTAGAAAATCAACGGGCCATAGATCAAGGGGTTTACTTCTGGAGTCTCAGTTCTATCCCATTGGTCTATATGTCTATCCTTATGCCAATACCACACTGTTTTAAAACTACTATGGCTTTGTAGTAACTTTTGAAATCAGCAACTGTGAGTCCTCCAAATTTGTTTTTCTTCTTCAGTACTGTTTTGGCTATTTGCGACCTGTTGTATTCCACATGAATTTGAGGATCAACGTTTCCATTTCTGCAAGAAAGGCATTTGGAATTTTGATAGGCATTGCACTGAACCTGCAGGCTGCTTTGGGTGGTACCGCCATCTTAACATTAAGTCTTGCAACCCATGAACCTGGAGTGTCTTCCAGCAATGTTTTGTAGTTTTCAGTGTACAAGTGTTTTGTTTCCTTGGTTAAATTTATTCCTCAGTATTTTATTCTTCTGAATGCTATTATAAAAGAAATTTTTCCTTTATTTCCTTTTCAGATTTTTCATTGCTTGTATTAAAAAACAACTTTTTTTATGTTTACCTTGAAATTAGTAACTTTGCTGAATTTGCTTATAACTAGTTTTTTTGTGCATGAGGATTCTTTGAAGTTTCCTATATACAGAATCATGTCACTGCAAATAGGTAGTTTGACTTTTTCCTTTTCAATGTGGATGGCTTTTATATTTTTCTTGCCCAGTGGCTCCAGCTAGGACTTCTAGTACAATGTTAAATAGTAGTGGCAAAAGCAGGCATCTTTCTCTTGTTCCTGATTTTAAGGAAAAAGCTTTCAGTCTCTGACAATTTAGTACAATGTGGGCTGTAGGTTTTCATAAATGCCCTTTACCATGTTTAGCAAGTTCCCTTCTATTCCTAGTTTGCTGAGTGTTTTTTATCATAAAAGCTACGAAGAGATTTTTGTTCCAAGTACAATAGGATGATTACTAAGTTATTCTTAAGCACAAAACTATTACATTAGGAGAAATTCATGTGGTAAAAGTGGAATGGAAATAAACGGAAATTCTCCTTTCAAGGAGAAAGAGAATAATGAAAAATATCCAACTATAAATAAGAACTTGTGCACGTATGTTTTAAATGAATATTGATAGATATCAAATCACTGTGATACTTTTAAAGAGTAACGCCACAATTCTATTTAAACACAATATTTACAATATGCCAAAAATTACATCCTACGCAACTCTATTTAAACGTATGATAAAAAACATAAAATGTTGATTTGCAACTGTCCAAGAGGGTACACAAGTACTCCAAATTATTTTAGGCAACACATGAAGAAATTTGAAGACACTGTTAGAATCTAACCAGAACTTCCAGAAACAGCAAGAAGGAAATTCAAGGCTCATACATCCATTCAAATGTTTACTGAGCACCTGCTATGTACTGTTCAGTGTGCTAGCAATATAGGAGACAAAATAAAGACTCCATCTTATGAAGTTATATT